AGATTAGTGGGCCATTACCATTACCATTCTGTTGAGATGTTTGGAAGACTATAATACCAATAGAAATATGAACAGAAAAAAAACCTGTGCTTATGAAGTTTCAGATGGGAACAAAGCTTGTGCTGAGAAATGGACAAGAGATTATTGGTGTTGTTAGTCTGGCAAAAAAAATATGGCTGTGTTTGGCTGTGTCCCGAAAACTTGAGTGAACCAAATTCAATAGGGACTCTGATGGTGTGAATAGAAATGGGCCCCATAGACTCACGTGTTTGAATGCTTGGCCCATACAGGGTGGCACTATTAGGAGGGGTGGCCTTGTTGGAAGTGTGTTACTATGGAGGTGGAATTTGAGGTCTTATGTGCTCAAGCTAGGCCAAGTGTGACTCACAGTCTCGTTCTGCTGCCTGTGGATCAAGATATAGAACTCTCAGCTACCTCTCCAGCACCATGTCTACCTGCACACCACCATGTTTTGCCATAATGATAATGGACTAAGTCTCTGAACTGTAAGCTAGCCCCAGTTAAATGTTTTCCTTCATAAGTGTTGCTGTGGTGTCTCTTCACAGCAATAGAAACCCTAACTAAGACAGATGCCATCTAACTAGTATGGATAAAGAAATTTCAAGAGATTATAACATCATATCCATGCTGAGGCATGGTTACTGTTCATCAACTGTATTGTGGCTTATGATGAGTATTTAGCTGGAAGATGTAAAAAGTATGCAGTATGCCAAGAACAAGAACATGAACATGAAAAAAAGCTGCAGATGGGGCAGATGTGGAGGAAGCAGCTATAATTAAAAAGAGATCAGCATCATTAGTGCAAAACCTAGTATTTTACACTGGGGCAATAAGAAATAGGCCCTGAGGTTCAGACCCCACCCATAGAAAGTTCCAGCTTCTAAAAGTACAAATTTATGTAAAAGGAGAAATTCTGAACTGAGAATGCCTCCATCCCTGCAAGGATTCCCTGCTGGAAAATGGCCATCAAAGGAAATGTTTCCCCAGTTTCAGTCTCTAAGGCAGGCAGAAGCCATGGCATCTGTGGTCTACCAGCGTCTGCCTACACCTCAGATTGGCAGTAGGTCTTGGTGTTAAATAGCCACATGGCGTTGACTTTGTAAGCATACAAAATATAAGGGATTTGCTAAGAATGGCAGCAAATGTCTTTAATGTCAACACTCAAGAGGCAAAAGTAAGTGGACCTCTGTGAGTTCAAAACCACCCTGATCTATATAATGAGTTCCAACCTAGCTAAGGGCTACTTAATTGATGGGGCAGGGGTGGGGGTGGGGGGTGGGGGCATTTGAGAGTAACAGCAAGCTGTAGGTAGAATTTTCTGTGCCACCAGCTGGCTCACAAATAACTACACAGAGACATATTAGTAATGATAAATGCTTGGCTGATAGCTTGGGCTTATTACTAACTAGCTCTTACAAATTAAATTATTTTTATTAATCTATGTGCTGTCCTGAGGCTTATTTGCCTCATCTATGTACTGCCCATGCTGCTGCTTCTCTGTCTGACTGGCTCTCCTGCCTATACCTCCTGCCTAGCTAATGGACAGTTAGCTTTTTATTAAACCAATCAGAATGCACCTTGGCAAAGACACATATTCACAGTGTACAAAAGGATTATTCCACAACAGCAAGCAGCTTTGGAACTCATAGGACACAGCTGGGCAGCCAGCAAAACCACACCAAGTGATCCTTGGAGAGGCAGAGTCCCGAGGACTACATGTTCTGAAAACCTCATGTTGTTATTGAGCATAGCTATGCTTATTGCCTTATGCTAGGATAGGTGATCAAAGGCAATGATTAATTCCTTGTACTCATTTCTGCCCTTAGCTTCCTGATATGATTTAATTTAAAAAAAAAAAACCACAGAACTGTTGAGTGGTTATGCACCCTGAGAATTTAAAGTGGAAATGTATTTTTTTTATTAAATTTTTTAAAATTTATTTTACCTACCAACCACAGTTTCCCCTCCCTGCTTTCATCCCATCCCCCC